AGTGGCTGATTGACCACCTGCGTAGCGGCATGGATCCTCATATGAAGGTGGATCGAAGGATACCTGTCTACCTCTGATACCTCCTACGTGGGAGGGAGCACGGAGGATTGGGGCTCAGAGCTCTCGACCATTAGCAGCTCTTTTCTGGGGACTCTTCTGCGCCACTTCCGGTGGCTGATTGACTCCCTGCGTAGCGGCATGGACTCTTATATGAAGGTGGATCGAAACAGAAGCACTAGGGAAACCTCCTCCTCCGAAGGATACCTCTCTACCTCTGATACCTACTACGAGGGACGGTGGCCGATTGACTCCCTGCCCTGCACAGCGGCGTGCATTCTTATATGAGGGTAGATCGAAATAGAAGCACTAGGGAAACCTCCTCCTCCTCCTCCTCGGCCCAAACGAGAGACAACCAGCCCAAAACGAGCCCCGCAGGGGGAGGCCACAGTCCTCAGTCGGGGATCATCCATCCAGGGGTTGAGGGGGGGACAGGGGGGGGAGGGAGGGGAGGGGAGGGGAGGGGAAGGCGAGAAGGGAGGGACAGAGGAGGAGGCGGGGGGAGGGATGGGAGACGGGGCAGGGGAAGGAAGATGATCCCTAGACTCCACGTCCACACGGCCCCAAAAATTAGCAGAAGAAGACAAAACGGCATCCTCGGCTGATGAGCTCCTCCAGCGAATCCGTTGTTGTTGTTGGGGGGTATGCACGCCCGGACGGCGGCCCCCGCCGACCTATCAGAAGACGAAGCGCAGAGGCCGACACGAGATACCCGCCAGGAAGAAGGGGGAGGCGGAGCAGGAAAAGGGGGAGGAAAAGGGGGAGGAGGGGGAGGAGGGGGAGGGGGAGCCGGGGAGGAGAGGATATCCCGTAGCGGGCCACAGGGACACCCGAACACTCGTTTGCGCAGGGTCCAAATGGTGGGCGGCTTCCCCCTTGAAAAAGCGGTTGGGATCACTGTGCACCCGTACATCCCAGACAACGTACACAACATAATAGCGTACCACACACACTCATGAGTACGCACAGAGTACACTGATGAGTACGCACAACACAACACACGGTACCATACACAATGTACATACACGCACAGTGCGAATCCGTTTATGCGACTCCCCGTCCATGCGACGCGCCCTCCCATACGGTTCGCAAGCGGCCTGGATCCTCCGAGGTTGCCTCACATGCCAACAGGGTGCAAGACCCCCACCCAAAGAGGCCCGGTGCAAGACCGGACCCCGGCGCAGCGGGCGGCCCGAAGGCGAAGGCGGCACAAGCAACCAAGCGAGAACACGGGCACGCACAGCTCGCAGCTTGGCGAAATACAGGATTACGCTCGAAACCCGCCAGATCCCGGACAACGTACACAACATAATAGCGTCCCACACACACTCTGTACATACACGCACAGTGCGTATCCGTTTATGCGACTCCCCGTCCATGCGACGTGCCCTCCCATACGGTTCGCAAGCGGCCTGGATCCTCCGAGGTTGCATCACATGCCAACAGGGTGCAAGACCCCCACCCAAAGAGGCCCGGTGCAAGACCGGACCTCGGCGCAGCGGGCGGCCCGAAGGCGAAGGCGGCACAAGCAACCAAGCGAGAACACGGGCACGCACAGCTCGCAGCTTGGCGAAATACAGGATTGCGCTCGAAACCCGCCAGATCCTGGACAACGTACACAACAGAATAGCGTACCACGCACCCTCACGAGTACGCACAACACAACACACGGTACCATACACAATGTACATACACGCACAGTGCGTATCCCTTTAGGCGACTCCCCGTCCGTGCGATGTTCCCTCCCATACGGTTCGCAAGCGGCCTGGGTCCTCCGAGGTTGCATCACATGCCAACAGGGTGCAAGACCCCCACCCAAAGAGGCCCGGTGCAAGACCGGACCCCGGCGCAGCGGGCGGCCCGAAGGCGAAGGCGGCACAAGCAACCAAGCGAGAACACGGGCACGCACAGCTCGCAGCTTGGCGAAATACAGGATTACGCTCGCAGCCCGCCAAAGTTCCCCCACCCACCCTCCGAGAAATGCAGAAGAACCCAACGTTTCCAAACTGCTCGGTAGCCACTGGCGTCCCTGGTCGCCTGGCCAAAACATGTAAGGTCGACACCTTAGGACCGGCAGCGCGCCGCACAATAACCCGCGCTCCACCTACACCAGGGTGCGGTGGTCAGGCGCCCCCCAGCGCTAACGACTAGTGTGTGGCCAGGGGAGATGCCCGGAGACATCAACCGCCCCCGGCCCAGGGACTGTCGAGTGATGCCCTCCCGCCCTTGCAGGAGACACGAGCAAGAACGAAGGGAACGAACGACCCAGGGCACAATGCGCACAGCGGACTCGGAGTCCATCCGCTGTGCACTGCAGGGGTTTGCCGTTCCGGCTCGCGCAGCATTTCTGAAAACCATGGACAAGTCTCCATCCAATGTAGCCGGCCCGTTGCCCCACGACCCGGCCGGGCGGCCTGGGCATCCATGGGTCTACATAATCACAAGCGCGCAAAACGAGGCACAGTAGCTCCTTTCCGACTCGGCGGTCTGTGGACGCGCCGGTCGAGATGGCGAGTCTCGACCCGACGCCGCGGCCCAAGGAGCAGGGCGTGGGGCGGTGAGGATCAAAACCGCGCCCTACGCTGAAGAGTCTGAGCACGAACAACCAAACCAGTACCACACAGCCCAAGAGACCCTCCTTTGCAAAACAAATATAGTTCATGGAGACTCGTGGCACGAAACACACGCACAAGCACAAACACATCACGCACAATAAAAGATTGGAAACACACCTCCGAACGCAAGCTCCTTGAACCAATACTGCATGACCCCGCCGCCCCCAGCGAATCCGTGACACCTGGCCGTGCTTCAGCTCAGTCGAGCGCCGGCGGGCGAAGTTCGCCGTGCCACCGCCAGCAGCGAGGCCAGCGGGATCGCAGCCAACTGGGCCCTGCACTCCCAGCTCACTCGCGAGGGCGCGCAGTGGAGAGCCTGGTCGCTCCAGGCGGACCCAGTCACGCCGTCTTGGAGGAAAAAGCCGAATGTCGCCATCATGGCCTAACGACTGTTGACGATCTCGGCTGCCAACTTCGCCGCGCCGGCAGCCGCCGCGGCGGCCACGTCCGAAGCCGCCGCGCCAGCTGCCGCGGAGGGGGCAGCGGCCGCGGCCACCGCGCCGGCGGCGACGGCAGCCGAGCCCGGCAGCCGAGCCGGCCGCAGCGTCGGCCGCCGCGCGAGCGGCCGCAGCAGCGGCCGCAGCGCCAGCGGCCGCGGCAGAGGCAGTGGCGCGCGCAGCGGCCGACCCCAGGGCGGCCGCGCGGGCCACGGCGGCCGCGGCGCCAGATGAGCAGGCGGCCGCGGCGGCGGCAGCCGCATTGGAGGCGGCCGAGGCTGGCTTGAGCCAGAGGCTACGGTCACACACACACACACACACACATACACACACACACACACACACACACACACACACACACACACGCGCGCGCACACACACACGCACGCACGCACGCACGCACGCACGCACGCACGCACACACACACACACACACACACACACACACACACACACCACGCCGCGCCGCGCGCACGCACGCACGCACGCACGCACGCACGCACACGCACACACACACACACACACACACACACACGAGGCAAAACGCCGTCCTGAGGACCCTCGAGCAGAGGGTGCAGACGCCGCGGCCGCTCGAGGCGGCGGCCACTGGCAAAAGACCCTCGGCCACGGGCGCCGCCGACCCAAAAGGGGCGGCGCCTCGGTGCGAGCCGCGCACCCTCCTTGGGCGAGCTGCCGAGCGCGTCGGCGGGGGTCGGGGAGCGAGGCGGTCTGCACAGGCCGGAGGGGCGAGGAGCGCGGAGACGGCGCCAGCGCGACCGATCTGCACGGAGGACAGGCGCGAGCAGCCGCCATCCTCCTCCTCCTCCTCCTCCTCCTCCTCCTCCTCCTCTCCTCCTCCTCCTCCTCCTCCTCCTCCTCCTCTCCTCCTCCTCCTCCTCCTCTCCTTCCTCCTCCTCGTTCCTCCTCCTCCTCCTCCTCCTCCTCCTCCTCCTCCTCCTCCTCCTCCTCCTCCTCCTCCTCCTCCTCCTCCTCCTCCTCCTCCTCCTCATGCTGCCCTGAGAACGGCCAGAGAGGGAACGAAGTGGCGCTCCCGGCCACGGCGAGCCAGTCACGAACTGGTCGCCCGACACAGATGCAAGGATCGGCCCGCCAGATCGGAGCCCCTGCTTGGCCGAGCGTGGTCCTGTTTCAGCGACAAGTCCGTATGCCTCGGGTGGGTTTGATTTGCGCGTCGTCTCGAGAACGCGGTGAACCCGCACCAGAAGGACGCACGCCAAGGATGCAGGGGCCTTGGAAGGCCATGTCGGCACTCTGCGGGCGGGGCGCGGCCGGAGAAAGCGGCCAATGATAGGCCGAAGGGAAAGGATGCAAGGCTGACCTTGGAAAATATCTCATTCTTATTATGCGGGTTGACTGTACCGTGCGCGTCCTCTGCTACATGAACGCGTGCCGTTGGCGCTTCCATGTCAATAGTTTCGGCTAGGCGAGCCCCGCGAGGGCTGCGGAATGCACACGCTACTTCTCTTGAGATGACGGAGAGGGGCTGCACCGCCAGAAAACATCCACGCCAACAACGCTGGGGACCTGCCATGGATCCCTGGGAAAAGGGCGGGCAGGCATCCACATCCACCACACGGCGAGCAGTTCCCCGAGAACCAGGGGCACGATGACCGTTTTTATGCAGGGAGCAAGAAGAGGCGCAGAAATGACAGCGCGGTGACGGCCACCGGCCGTCACGAGAGAGTGCGAAGAAAGCAATCGCACGCTGCACTGAAGGACGGGGAGGGCGACGGAGAACTGGCAACAGTGCTGCATCCCGAGAAGAAACGAAGTGCAGTGATTACGCACCTTCTTCCCCCGGCGGCGGAGTCGCCTGGAGGCAGAAGAAGCCGTTGCAGCTGCCCAGGTCCATCAGCGTGAAGGGCACCTCGCACGCGGCCCGAGTCTGATCTGGAGCCCGTCGGGCCTCGTGCGGTCGCCGAGGTTCGAGCATCAAGGACCCATATTGGCCACAGGTCTGCCCCTCTTGGACGCTCCGGAAATATGTGTTGGCGGCGAGCCCAGGGGAGGAGAGAGAAGGGGCAGGCCTTCTCAGAAGGCGTCGGGGCTTCTCAGAAGCCCTCGCGCAATCTGAGAAGCCGTCGCCGTATTCGGAGAAGGCTTCGAAAGCGTCTCGGAGGGCCCGAGGCCTTCCGAGCTTTCTGAGAAGGCCCGCCCCCATCTGCACGCCCCCCTGGGCTCGCCGCCGAATCTGGGGACCTCGGGAGGCCTCCGGAGGCGTCCTCGCCGTGCGCCAGGACGCGAGCGTCGTCGCCGTCGTCGTCCCCCTTCAGGGTCGGCGGCGCTGGCCTCTGGGGACCTCGGGAGGCCTCCAGAGGCGTCCTCGCCGCGGGCCAGGGCGCGAGCGTGACCTGGAGCCCGCCCGGTTTCCGCACAGCCGCCGCACTGGAAAGGCGTTTGTCTGAGCCAGGACAGCCCGCGGGGGCAGCCCAAGCAGCCAAGGCCCGCCTGGGCAGGCCTCCCCAATGGTGGCGCACGGCGGCCTCAGCATTTGAGGAACAACATATATAGACGTATACACACACACATCCAGAGACGTACCCAGCCCCTTCTCCACGCAAGGCGATGATTTAGAGTAGCACTCCTTACAACAAACGAGCACATTAAGAGATATGCCGCACTCTTGCGCACGAAGATACCGAAAGTTGTGCAGTTGAAAGCCTCGCTGGGAGCCGCGAAGTCTCCTCTGGGTCCGCGAGCCCCCCGACTCCGCTAGACCTCCCAGGAGTCCACGAAAGTGGTGACAGTTGCACAGTTCGCAGCCACCCAGGGAGCAGCGATGTCTCGTCTGGGTCCGCGTGGCCCCCACCTCCGTTGGACCTCGCAGGAGCCCACGAAAATGCCAACAGTTGCGCAGTCCGCAGCCATCCAGGGAGCAGCGCGGGAGGGGGCAGGAGGGAGGCGGAAAAGGGGGTGGAGACCACAGTGCTCGATCCAAGACGAGAGCCCAACACGGGAAGGCTGGAGAAAAAACAGAAGGCAGACGGCAGGAGGGAGGCGGGGAGGAGAAGGGAGGAGGGAGAGGAGAGGAGGTGGAGACCACGGTGCTCTCCTCAAAATACGAGAACTCAGCGAGGGAGAGCTGGGAAGAGAAGCAGAACTTTGCGAAGGCCAGCGCGGATGTCTTGGATCGGCGCTGGAGCCCCGGGGGCGCCTCCGGCGCCGCTCCTGGCGCGCTCCACGCGCCAAGGAGGGGGATCCACGCCGATCCGAGATGTCCGCGCGGACCTCCGAAAACTCATGTTCGTGTGATTCGTTTTTCTTTGGAGGTGGGAAAAGGGTATGGTGTAAAGGGGTGTGGTGCTAATTTCACGTAAAGGGGATTCTGGCGATGTTATTTGTCGCAGATAGCATCGCCATTTCCACGATTGGCACCATACCCCTTTATGCCACACCCCTTTCCGACCTCCAGATTTTCCTCGAAGCCTCCCCGCGCAGCCGCTAGCGGCGGCCCTGTGCCCAACCGGCCCAACCGGAAGCAGAGCCTGGCCGCACAGCACAAGGGCGCAGCCGAGGGGGAACGTTAGGGACCAGCTCCGAGGGGGGGGGGGGCATCGACCTGGCATCGGTGGTACGTCGCTGATAGATCGGCGACAGGCCACCGATAGCGACACCGCACGTTCATGGGTGGGACGGGCCATCGGGCCCCACTCTGCGATGACCCCCCCAGCGTTGCCCCTGAGGAAGACAAGGCTGCAGGACGCTTGGGCGTCCGTAAGGGCCACGAGACTGGCTAATGGCGGGCGAAGAAGGCACGGCAGGCTCGTGTCATGACGACCTCGGCCTCAGCCTGACACCACGCGGACCGTTCCACCTTACACGACTGCTGCTTCCCGATAGTGCAGATCGTTCCATGCCAACCGAGTCTGGGCCACTGGCGGCGCTCAACATTGAACTCCCGTGCTGGGGTTGAAGCCGCGTCGACACAACACGAAGCTGCCCGACTCTCGACCCCCAAATCATTCCCCTGCGATCCTCGAGGACACCGTCGCTGGCGCGTTCTCCGAAGCGCAAAATCCGACCGCGGCGTCTGACGAGCAGGCGCCTTCCCTGAGGGGCGTCACGAAGAGACACGAAGGCAGGAAGAGGGGAATGACGACGACGACGACGACGACGAAAGATGTGTACATCTTTGCCCTTTCTGAGCCTCCAGGAGAGCCCTCGTAGCCACGGTTCGGTCCGCCGCGGAATCCTGGTCGCTTCACGGCGTGCCCCAACCGAGTTCTTCGACGACGACGACGACGACGACGACGCCGGCGGCGGCGGCGGCGGCGGCGGCGGAGCGACACCCTGCCGCCAAAGGTGCGCTCGAGCTCTACGTCCATGGCGGCCCAGCGAGTGAGGAAGTGGGACCAGGGCCTCTGGATGTACCTCCGACAACGACAGCAGCGGCGCAGGCGGCGACGTTGACGACTGCGGCGGCGGCAGCCGCCAGCGGGAGGTGGGACACCAGAACTGCGGGCGTCATAAGGCACACGCGACCAAAGGGAGCAGCGGTCTCCCGCGGCTGTCGCTCGACGCGATACGTGGCTGCCAACGCGCGCGGAGCGGGAACCCGTTCGAGCGGGCATTCTACGGGCAGTCGGACACGCCCTGTCAAAGAGGGGGTCCTGCCGAGCAACCCACAGGCCCCCGAGCCCCAGGAGGGCGATCCCACGGGGCCCCGCGCGCATCCTCGCGACCGAGACGGGGCAGCCGACCAGCGCCTGCGCGCGGTCCAGGCCGAACTGCGCTATGGAGCCGGCCTCCTCCTCCTTCTCCTCCTCCTCCTCCTCCTCCTCCTCCTCCTCCTCCTCCTCCCATCCCTCCTCCATCCTCCATCCTCCATCCTCCATCCTCCATCCTCCATCCTCCATCCATCCTCCATCCTCCATCCTCCATCTCCATCCTCCATCCTCCATCCTCCATCCCCATCCATCCCCTCCACCCTCCTCCACCCTCCACCCTCCACCCTCCACCCTCCATCCTCCATCCTCCCCTCCATCCTCCTCCATCCTCCTCCATCCTCCTCCTCCCTCCTCCTCCTCCTCCTCCTCCTCCTCCTCCTCCTCCTCTCCTCCTCCTCCTCCTCCTCCTCCTCCTCCTCCTCCTCCTCCTCCTCCTCCTCCTCCTACTCCTCATCCTCCTCTTCCTCCTCCTCCTCCGTAGCCGTTTGGGCTCAAGCGAGTCAGGCAGCGGGAGGCCCACGCACGGCGGCGCGCGCTCGCGCTGGTGCGCGCGCATGTGGCCCATGACGGACCCCGAGCCCGACGGCAAGCGGCGCTGGGCTGCGGCGTCGGCGCGCACGCTGGCCAGGCGGCGCCGACGCGAATGGCGCGCTGCTGTCGGCGAGTCGAGGGGCGCTAGCCATCAGCAGGAGGGTTGACATTTTCAGGAGGTCGCTTGGGGCCCATTGGGCCCTAGGCGACGCGCTGGGCGGCCAGGAGGCCTCGATCATAGCTGCGGTGGGAGCGGTCAAGCTCATCGGCCTGGACGAGCTCGCGGCACTGGCCGAGGAGCTCGGCAGCTCGGCCAACTCGGCTCGGCACGCTGCACCGCCTGGCCTGGCACGGCTCCACAAGGTTCCCTCGGGGATCGCGGCGACGGAGCTGGAGAAGTTCCGCGCCCGACTCCATTCCCCCGAGTTCGTGGTGGTCACCTCGCTGATGGCGGAGGCGCGCCCGTCGCAGTGCGACGACGGGGACGAGCTGGAGTTGGAACGGCAGCATGACCAGGTCGTTCAGCCAGCGCCGTCGTCCACCAGCGGCAGCTCCGGCGAGGGCTTGGAGGTGGCAGTTACGGCTTCCGAGGTCGAGGAGGGCGTCGCCACCAGCTGCCCTGACTACCAGCATGTGCGCGGCAATGAGCAGGAGTACGAGGATCTGACGATGCGCCCCGACGTGGTCGAAGCAGTGGTGGATGGCGACCTCAGTGGCGAGGACATCGGCCTGCTGGATGCCGTGCTGGATGTGCCCGCTGGCGGCCCGAGCATCGGGACTGGCCCCGCTGGCGAGAGTCTGAAGGAGGAGCCGTGCGTGTTCGACGTCACGGACGTGGAGCTGATGGGCCCTGCGGTGCTCGCGCCCGTGCGAGCGGTGGTGCGCGCCGTCCCGCGGGCAGCCCCTGGCGTTCCGCCGAGGGGCTTGGTCGAGCAGTGAGGCCACGTCGGCATGAATGCGGAGCCAGCTGGCAGCCCGTGCGATCGTTGGGCAGCCCTGGCTGGCGAGGAGGACGACGGCATCGGAGAGTACGACGCCAACCCCGTCCACAATTTCGGCGGCACGGTCCATGCGTGTGCGCCCATCGCACGGTCTCCCGTTGTACACGCCCCTGACGAGAAGTCGATTGGTGTGAGATGCAGCGGCGGTCTGTGAGTGGCGCGAGGCGCAGCTGTGCTGGCAGCGGTGTCACCGCTCAGCCGCTCCCTGAGTGGCATCCCGTTCGTCGCGATGCTGCTGGGCGCGTGCTTCGTGGTCGACGTCGCGGCTGGGCGGGGGAGGAGCTCCCACAGGCTCGTGTCCTGAGGGCCTCCCCCGAGGCCAAAAGACGCAACGCTGTTGCTCCGCTTGTGTCCTGCTTGAGTCCTCCTCCTCCTCCTCCTCCTCCTCCTCCTCCTCCTCCTCCTCCTCCTCCTCCTCCTCCTCCTCCTCCTCCTCCTCCTCCTCCTCCTCCTCCTCCTCCTCCTCCTCCTCCTCCTCCGTGCCCTGACGCGAGTCGCGTGGCGCTGGGCAGCCCGCCGCAGTGCCACACCTGCCCGTGCGGAAGAGGGGCGCGCTCTCGAAGTGGAGACACCACCAGGCCGCACACGGCGGGCCGGGGAGCGTCGGCCCCGCCGCTCGAGTCCAAGAGGCCTCCCAAGAGGGCCCCAAGAGACCAAAATCAGTGATTTTCCCTACGTGTTTGAAGGAATTTGGCGTTCTCGCCTTTTCAACTTCCCGACGCTCCCAGACGGGCCCTGGAGGCCCTCAAGACAGCCCCAAGACGGTCCAAGGGGGCATCCAGGAGAGCCCCAAAACGGCCCAAGAGGGCACCAAGACGGCCCAAGAGGCGCCCAAAACGGCTCAAGAGGGCCCCAAGTCGGCCCCAAAAGGGGCCCCACGGAGGCAACACGAACCGAAAATCCAAGCGTTCCGCCCCAAGATGCTCCTAGAGGCCCCAAGAGGCGCCAAGAAGCCCCACGAGGCCCTCAGCAGGCTTTCCAAAGGCCCCAAGAAGCCTCCAAGAGGCCCAAAAACAGCCCCCAAGAGGCGTCCAAGCTGCCTCCAAGAGGCCCCCGCCCCCCCCCGAGATCCCAACGAACATACAATAGACTTCACACCCACAACCCAGGCACGGTGGCGGGATGGACCGAAGCTATGAGATCCGCCGCCCCCTGTCGCTTCAGCAAAGGGGTGCCCGGCGTGCCAAACCCTATCGGTTTTGGTTTTGGCTCTTTTTCCAAAAGAGCTCTCCCAGTGGGCTCCGGCGCGTCCTGCAGGGGCCGCGGAAGGCCCGGAAACGAGCTCAACGACCGCAAAAAATCCTCCAAGATGGCTCGAGATGGCCTCCCAGACGGCCAAGATGGCCTCCAAGACGGCTCAGATGTCCCCAAGATGCCGCCAAGACGGCCTAAGATGCACCTAAGACGGCCGTGGATGGTGTCAAGATGGCCCACGACTGCCCAAGAGTTCCCCCAGAGGCCCCGAAGACGGCCCAAGAGCCCTCCAAGAGCTCCTCCAGGAGGGCCCGAAGAGGTCAAAATGATTGATTTTCCCTTAGGTTTTTGAAGGATTTTGGAATTTGCTTCTTCTCGGCATTCCGACGGGTTAAGCCGTCCCAAGAGGCCCCCAAGATCGCCCAAAAGGCCCCCAAGAGGGCCCCATGACGGCCCAAGTGGCCTCCAAGATGGCCCCAAGAGGGCCCCAAGACGGCCCAAGAGGCCTCCAACACGCCCAAGATGGCCTCCAAGACGCCCAAGATGGCCTCCAAGACGGCCCCGAAGCGCCCCAAGAGGGTCCCCCGTTGGCCCAGAAAGGCCCCCAAGGCGGCTCCCGACGGCGTCAGACGTGCCAGGAACCCACCAAGATGGCCGAAGTTGGCTCGAAGCTGGCCCAAGACGGCCCAAGAGGCCCCCAAGAGGGCCTCCAGGAAGGCCAGAAGAGGCCAAAAACATAGATTTTTCTGAGGTTCTTGACGGATTTTGACATTTTCTTCTTTTCGGCCTTCCGACGGCCCGAGACGGCCCAAGAGCCCCCAAAGATCGCCGAAAGATCGCCCAAGAGGCCTCCAAGACGGCCAAGATGACCTTCAAGATGCTCACGTGTTCCCCGAAGGCTCTCCAAACCGACTCGGGGAACACATGGTCCGATGGCTTGGCACGTCTGGCCTCAACGTTCGGCCACATAGGCGCTTCCAAAAAGGCAGGGGGCGGCGGTGATTCGCAGTAGGCGTCTTAGATCCGCCACCCCCTGTCGATGCATCGCAGGCGTGTCTGGCGTGCTGGACTTCTTACGGTTCTGGTTTTGGTTCTCTCTCCAAAAGAACTCCCCCTGGGGCTTCGGCACGTCCCGCCGGCCACCCGGAAAGGACCTCAAGTGCAGTGTGTCCTCCAAGACAGCTCAAGATTGCGCCAAGATGGCCACGTTGGCCCAAGATGGCCTCCAAGATGGCCCAAGATGGCCTCCAAGTTCGCCCAAGATTGTCCAAAACGACCTCCAAAACGGCCCAAGAGAGTCCAAGACGGCCCAAGACGGCCCAAGAGGCCCCCCAGAGGCATCCAAGACGGCCCAAGAGGCCTCCAAGAGGTCCTCTAGGAGGGCCCGAAGAGGTCAAAATGATTGATTTTCCTTGGGTGTTTGAAGGATTTTGGCATTCGCTTCTTCTCGGTTTTCCGACGGGTCAAGACGGCCCAAGAGGCCCCCAAGGTCGCAACCCACAGCGCCCAAGAGGCCTCCAAGATGGCCTCAGGACTGCCCAAGAGGCCCCCAAGACGGCCTCAAGAGGGCACAAAGACGACCCAAGAGGCCTCCAAGACGCCCAAGATGGCCTCTAAGACGGCCCTGGAGCACCCCAAGAGGGCCCCAAGTCGGCCCAGGAAGGCCCCCCAAACGGCTTCCGTCGGTTCAGAGAGGCCCCCCAAATGGCTTCCGACGGCGTCGGAAGGGCCAGGGGACCACCAAGACGGCCGAAGATGGCACTAAGATGGCCCAAGACGGCCCAAGGCCTCCAAGAGGGCCTCCAAGAAGGCCCGAAAAGGCCATAATCATTGATTTCCCATTAGTTTTTTGAAGGATTGTGGCATTTGATTTTTTTCTGCCTTCCGACGGCCCGAGACGACCCAAATGCCCCCAAAGATCGCCCAAACTTTCCAAGACGACCCCAAGAGGCCCCCAAGACGGCCCAAGAGGCCTCCA